TAAAGAAAACTAAGAGCTGTAGGAGTCACTGGAAACTCAACACTGATATGAAATACAAGTCTTTAAAAGTGTAATAGGTACATTTACTTCACTATGTCTTCTGCTCCATTTTACTTTGGTTTTACTACAAAACATCACCATAGCAGTTCTTAAATTATTATTCTCAATGTTTAAGTGTGTGAATGCTTTGAGTGAACGGCGTGACAACATTGTTGAGGTTTTCAGACGGCAGTTGCTCAAAGACATATTGCTTGCACGGTTGCACTGATATGATAATTATTGGCAATATGTTGCACCAATATGACAGCACATTAATTGTTGCTTGTGTGACAGCGATGGCAGATGTAGGTGGGAACACAGGTCGTGCTACAGCCCACACACTGGGAACTGTGACAGTCAGCATCATGAAGGCTTCCAGGATCGACCTGCTGTGAAAGAAAATCCACGACTTTACACGTCCTCTACTTTGAAGGTAGGCAGCTTCATCAGCTCCTTCATTAATTTTACATGTGGACAGGCACTGATAATCTATAGATAGGATAAAATCAGATAAGAAAAACACCCGAATGTTACCAGGATACCAGAGAAAGTCCTTAATTTAGTAAAAGCAGCCATTCCACTGTGAGAAAATGCTCAATTAAATCTCCTGAACAGACCACAAATGTGTGCTATTCACAGTAAAGGTCCTGAATTATTTAAATGTTAAAGAACTGACTGAATAATCCCATTATTTATTAATAAACAAATTGCTGTTTGTCTTATTGGAGCTTAGCTGCATTACGTTATTGGGGATTTTACTGAAAACTACAAGAGTGTCTCAAAATGATCAACTGTAACCACTTTGTGTGCATAATTTTAGGATTTTTATGATTTAAGATTAAAAATAAATGTTTTTACAGCATGTAAATGCATTGTCAGAGAGGAAACCCTGCTTTTAATACTGTTAGTACCGATGTTTTTAAGTGTTTTTTACCCACAGCAGCAATATAAGAGCTTTTCCTGTGACTGATGATCTTAAAGACTCTCTCAGGTGAAAACCACATTTTTCCTCTTGTTTACATATGGTGTTCTTTTTCTTATGCTAGAACACATATTCCATAAATAAGCAGTCAACACCACTTCATTGTCTTTTCTTTTTTTGGGTACAGTTTTGAGTTGTAGGTGAGCTGATGTGCTCATGCTGTAGTGAAGGATGGTGGGGGGCCTTCAAAAATGAACAATGTAGAGTTACAGCTAAGCTCTTTAAAGCCACTAAGGGACTATATATATATTTTAAAAACCATCCACATATGTAACTTTCATTCAGAGTGATGGGTCGAATCAACAAGAGAGACTTCATACGAACATTAGAAAATAAGGTCAATACTTTGCACTCAGAAGTGGTGGAATAAACGCACCAGAGCTGTGTATTAATCAGTAAACTGACTACAGTTCTTAAAGTATTTATCAGGAAGCTGTTCCAAACCTCTGGTGGATGCTGGGAACGTATTGACCATATTGCAGCAGAACAAAAATATCAGCTGCGGTCTTGGCTGAGATGAATCATCACTTCTTAAAGATCCGCAGAAAACAAAGTCACCATGACCAGAACGCAAAGTATTTAACTGACATACATTTGTAATATTTCTGTTCCCATGTATTTAAACTAATCCATCCTCCCCAGTGTCATCCGTCTGTTTTTCATTACTGTCTTACATGTGCATCTGATTCTCATTTTATATTGTTTTCCATTTTTTTCTTGGATCCCTTTCATTTATTCTTGGCTCTGCTATTTTTACTCTTCTTCATTGTTCTCTTGTTGCTGTTTTTTTTATCCCCCCCCCCTTTCCGACTTTCTTGTCACTAACAGTCGTCTCGTGTGTGCAATCTTATTTCACAGGCTGCTTTGCTCTCCTCTAAATTTCTCCTTTTAATCTTTTCTTTTTTCTTAATCTATTTTCTCCTCTCTCACTCTGTTCTCCAAATTCTCTCAACACATCACTTTTCTCTCGTCCTCTGATCCTTCTGCCTCCGCTCCATCCTACACATCCTACACTGTAGATACCTTCTTTTTTTTTTTATTGTTGTCGTCGTATAAATGAAGGGAAGCGGTGGGAACTTTCGCGATGAATGTTTTATCACCGCGGTGGCAGGGTTTGTTTTGTTTTTTAAATGGCCTGAAGAGAAGCAGAACATCAGAGCTGTAGGGTAGTGAAAGAGTTTGCTTTAACACAATAACCCCCACTGGAATTTACATGTAGGTGTAGACTTATATATGGCGTGAGTAGAAAATAGATGTGGCCATGAGTTACAAAAACAGCCTCAGAACACAGATCACATACACTTGGCCACATAGTGTACATGCTTTGTTAATACTGCCTGGTTACATTTCCTGCTCCTTTCTTATCAAATTCTTTATTAATTCATCTCATTATCCTCATTATTCCAACCTACAGATGTCAGACTGTGCATCTCTCACCCCCCACGCTGTCCCATATTCTTTGATTCTAAACATGTCCTCATTTTTTATTCGTTCATTTTCCTCTCTCCTCTACCCCACTTCTTCTTCTTCTTTTTTTTTTTTTGTCCTGTATTTCATGCTGCCAATTTACCACGTCTCCGCTCATCAGAGAAGAACCACCTCCTGTTTTTTTCATCACCCACTGGCGTTTCTCTCTGTCTCGCATTTCTTTTCATCGTTCTCTTCATTAGGGGCCTCCTCCTCCAAAAACCTCTCACATTTCCTCTCTGATAACCCCCCCCCTCTCTTGCCTCTGCAGGATGATGATGTTGGAAATTGGGTTTATATTTTTATAAAGCCGCCCTCCTCCTCCTCCTCCTCCTCCACCTCTCCCTGTCTTCGTTGCTTTGCACTCTCCTGCATCTTACCTTCGATGTTCACGCAATGTCCCTCCATCTGTCTCTTTCTCTGTGATCCTCCTGTGAGCTTTTCACTGTGGATCCGCCTCCGCTCAAACCTCTCCATTACTCTGAGGTTGGTCAAGTGTTTTTTTGTCTAGTCAAACTATACACTGAGTGACTCACTGTATAATTTCCAAATATCCAAGGGGTTGTGTTTTTTTTCTTCTTCTCCTTTTGAACGATCTGAAGCTAGTTGAGCAGGGACATAATTACACGCTTCAGAGTTTGTCTCCACTGGCATCTCTATGGTTACAAAGGCCTTTTAAAAGTGGCCTTGCTCACAGTGGAATGAAGTAATGTGCAGCATGCAATGACAAATGAGTAGCAGAAGCAGGAATCTGAAGTTGATCACTTCGGTTCGACTCAGATTTACACCACTGAACTGGAAAATCTTCCAAAAGCTCCACAGTAATTCTGCTTTCGAGCGAGCTGATGCACATCCCCCGCTTGTGTCGTCTACCGCTGATGCAAACGTGCAGCCAATGAAAGCAGGCAGGAGAGCCCATCTGATAAGGCGGATCAAACGCTTTCTAATTCCAGAAATACATTTTTTCGCCTTGGGCCAGTCAGTAATCCTTCCCTGATCAACTGTCACTAAAACTGGCCTGGAAAAAAGCTGGAGGATGTGTAACTGTACCCACTGCTGCTCCTCTTCCCGCCTCCATCCATCCTTCGGTTACGCTATAGCTCGACACAAATCTGGCTACTGGTGTGTGAGTGTGTGAAAAACTTGAGAAAAATCAGAACTTGAGCTTTCTGCTTGAGTTTGCTTTCTTTCCGAGTTGATGTGCACTGACAGCTGACCCTGATTTTCCTCTGCCAGTGTGTCCCTGTCTCTTCACACACCACTTCTTCTTGTCTGTCTTCCTTTCTCGTTTCTCTCTGGCCCATTTACTGCCTCTCACCCTGTCTCCCGACTGTTCTTACAAGTTATTTTTTAATTATAGATAAGCACAAACACATGCACCAAAGCTCCTAATTTGATCAAATAGCTGTGCAGTGACACTCTGGTGTACTTAAAGTCTGAATAACTTAGTGTCTGCTTGGGAAAGATAGTTTTTTTTTGCTCAAGAAAACTGTACACAAGGACACACATTGGGCAGTAACGCAGCTCTCTATATGCTCCTGAAGCGTATGCATACACATCAGAACATAAAAGCTGTTTTTTTATGCCACATAGCTGGCAGTTGTTTTGGTCCTAACATCCCTGCAGGAGCCCCACCGCCACAGAGGCAAACATAGCAGCAGGGACGGATTATGACGCAAGATCTGAAGTGGTTAGAAGAATTTCTCTCCATAAGAGGCTGCAGCTGTAAAAGGGCCTCCTGCCTTGACCATCTTCACTTCCATCACAGAGAAACCTTTACATGCTGAACTTGAAAGGCTACATTTGGGTTTTTTATTAGAATCATGTGAGACATATATGAACTTATTACGCCTGATCAGTGTAATGCTTTAAGCTGCTGTGACGTTTTCAGTGTCTGAATATCCACTTATGAACATGTGCGGTAGTCGTGTTCAAAGGGAAATCCTCATGTGCGAGCCATGTTGCGCACAAGGGGGATTTTCTTAAAGCACAAACGACTTAATCGGCTTATGCACGATATCTACGCGAACTACAACCCACGATGTATGTATTATTAATCCTGAAAATAAACTGTGAATGTGAGCTGTTTGCTGTTTCTATGGTGACAAATTTGGGCTCAAACTTCTCAGACTGTTCCAGGTTTTCAGAAAGAAGAGGCTAAAAGAGCAGACGTTGGCTTTGAAGAGCGAGAAGCAGCTAATTGCTCCAGTTTAAACAAGAGGTGGGCTTGAAATGGCTTCATTACTTTGTTTTTTTTTTTCAAATGCTACTGATATGAGTTCATATTTAAGATATTTTAAGTTGTCAGTCTTTTTAGCCCAGATGAACAAAAATAATTCCCTCCATTTCTTTGTCTTGTTGTCTTACATCGATTCTAATTCAAATAAATGTCACAATTAGTTCTAAAAACATTCAAAGGACAAAGCCGTGATTCATTCCTGCTGATAATTCTTTGCATATTTGACATATAGGACACTATAATTAAATATAATTTACTCTGGACACGAATCGCCTCTTTTTAGGGTCATCACCATGTCAAACTTTTATTCATGCCAAAAAAAACGAATATAGCATCCACATAACTGTATCTTCTACATAAAGGAAAACACTTGAAATAAAAGAGTGAACACATTCATTCCTCACGTGATCGGAGCAAAAAAAACAAAAATTCAATATAGTATCGTACTGTACATTTACCAGTGTTCTACAACAATGACTTACATCCTACAGCTTTCATTAAATAGTGTACACGACACTAACACATGTTCTCGCTAATGTCATTACACAGAACAGCTCCTGCTTGACGTCTGTACTCAAAATATAAACTTCTATTTGCGTGTACTGTACCGTTAATCTCTTCTGAATACACACAGCAACTGTAAAATAATGGCTTTTGAGTTTTTAATATCTAGATTAACAGTACAGGCAAACTGCACAATCATTTGGTAAGTTGTTCTCGTCCACTAGTGTCTCGCCGCACCGCCTCAGCGCAGCTCTTGGCTTTTTATAACAGCAGTAAATTCTACGTTTTCAATAGCTAATCTACGATAAATGTCCATTCTTCACGATAAGGTCCATGTTTCTTGTTTTTTTTTTTTTTTCTAAAGTGCAGGAGTGACACGGATGGTAAAAGATTAGATGATCAGTTATTTACTACATTCTATCTAATGACTGTCTAACCAATCAGCAAAATAAGCTTTGAAGGAGAAGACGAAGCACAAAACCACAGAGAGAACAAGAGGGAAGGTTAGCCCTACCGCTGTTTCTTTTATCTGTATGGAAGAAGAATAGGTGACGAATGGGCAGATCGGTCGTTGTTTCATGTGTTTCTTTTGTTGTGGCATTGCTGACATTGCATCTACTCTAAGATGGAGCTCTGAGTGAAACAAACTAGCACTGAGAAATAAGAAATCATGCAGTTATTATTATTATTATTTTTTTTTATCATTATTTCTTGTGGAGAGCAAGAAATGTGCCGATACTGTCATCACAGGTCCCTGTAACTTTTACCTTAGCTCTTTCTATCCAAGGTTTTGGTTTGTTTCACCGTTTTTCATCTGAAAATTATTCTCTTTTTTTTAAAGAGGAGCATATTTGCAAAAAAAAACAAACAATCCTGGTCATGCCATGAGGAAAAAGGGAATATCAAAGAACAAAAAAGCGATTATACAGTCGCCCTCTTCTCCTGCTTTCGTTGTGTTGGGAAGCAGCAGCAGCAGCTTTGCTCCGTCAGTTGTTGTTCATAATCCACCAAGAGGCTGTAAAAAGAAACAATAATATGCATCAGTGGTTTATGGGCGCTGCTTGAGCCAAACAAATGAGCAACAACAACAGAAAGACAAGCTTACAATTCTAATACAGTATACAGTATTCTCATACAGTAAACCTACATTAACCCTCTGAATCCACAAGCAGTTTTGTACTCCTGTCACGTTTTTACTCACTGTAGGATCATTTTATGCTGCATATAAAGTCCTGAACCTCTATGGGAAGAGCACAGCCATGACTAAAATAGAGAGAACTCAAAAACATCTGCTGTGCAGTACGACACAAGTATAGTGCCATAAATTATCATAAACGAAAAGAGGAAAGTTGAGTTTCTTTAAATGGTAATTACACACAAAAAAATGGAACTCTGCATAATACACAATATGTTGACCACCCACATTAGTTTATGCTTGTTTCCTATCTGCTCTTTAAAAGAAGAAGAGGAGAGAGATATTAGTTTTTTACGGAGTCTGGTTAGAGTACATCATTATTTTGGGGTAGTTTGTAAATGATACATGTAGAATAAAGTGATAAATATCAAGATGATTCAGAGATCATTAAAACTGCTGAAAATCCAACAACTCCTTCTGCTTTTACAGTTTCTCATTTCTGGTGTCATTTTGTCAATTTGTTAAAAACAGCATTTCTTCTTTTGCGATTGTTAAATGACCTGGGAGCAGCGGAAACAAGCTGTAAACGCAGTAACGACCTATTATAAACATATCATGAACTCATTAGGAGCCACGTTTCTGCCCAGTTCTTTGGCTGTGTTTCAGTTCTCAACAGCTACTGAAGGAAATGTGGCTCTTCAGCTGCTGGTTGCTAACTGTGACTGGAATTTGGTGCAAAGGAGGTCGTGTACAACAGATTTATCAGAGATATTTAGCTGACAAAACAACAACAACAAAACAACGGCCTGCTGAATCTGGAAGTTAAACTGACGAGAGCAAAAAATAGTAAAATTACAGGCCAGAAAACCAAAACAAGGAGCTAAGAGAAGATGAAGGGAACTACACAGTTTGGTGATCTGTTCATCTTTGAGTGGCTGCTTTCAAATACTTATAATCATTTGATTCATTGTTATTGTAAAAATACTGATTGTAGCAGCTTTAATATTAAAGCTGTTTTACCTGTAAAGCACCTCAAGTCTTTGGTTTACTTAATTACTCTTCAAGACAGACTAAGTTCTTCAGTTCATTTTATATCTTGAACCCCAAAAAACTCCCATAAATTGTGAGGATGCTATGTTTTATCTGTCTCATCATAAACTCATGAAACTCAATCAAATCAAACTGGATTAGCGTGCGATTGTTTGTCTTGCAAATTATCTTCTTTCAATTGGCTGCTGAAACTGCTGTTGTGATCTTTCTACCTGGGAGGAGCATGGTGGAGACCATTTCTGGCTCTTCCAGGGAGTCGATAATGCAGCGCTGGAAGGTCTTGCTGATGGACGACTGCAGGTAGCTGAGGAAAAAAAAAAAGGAGGGATGAAAAGGGATGAGAGTGCCATTTGCCTCACAGCGTGGCAAAAAAAAAAAGCTTCAAAGAGAGCGTGTGAGCAGCTCCGAGTGCTTTCGGTTCAGCTGGGAAATCCTCAAAACATGCTTTATGTGCCACGAAGCCCTTCTGATCCTACCTCATCCAGGAGAGACGGTCCTGCCAAAACTCATACATGATGAAGCATGATCTGTCTGGCAGGTTCTGGACCGAAACGCTAAAAATAAAAGGAGAGAGAGAACAAAAAGAGGGCAGTTAGGGTTATCTGACATGTCTGGAAGCGATTTCATGTTGCTTATGTCATATTAGAGAGAGAGAGCCCGAGGCTAAAACAAAGGGACATACTGCAGGTTGTTTAGCTGGCTGGTGGTGGCATCTGTGTAGATTTTGAGAGCTTGTTGGAACTGCTCCACATCTCTCTCCTTCACAGACATCTGTCTCTGGACCAGAAGGATGTTCTGCAGAAAATAATACAGTGTCAACATATGCTGACACACAACATATGATAGTTTTGCATTCTACATTTCACACATGCCGGACTCACCGATTTATACGTCCCCGCCAATGTGTCTTCTTTGAGAGGTTCGAGATGTGGACTCTGAAAATGAGGCCATAAATATTTCAGCAGAACAAGAATTAGAAGCAGGAACCGGCTCGGCTGAGTCGGCCTCTAGTTACGGTCGGTCGCAAACCATCGACTCTCACAAGAAAGAGATAACCGCGTTCACATTAACCCTCCAACAGCCCTGAGTTATAATAAATTCTTCTCTGCGCGGCCGAGATAAGAGAACGTAATTATTAGCATGTTAACAGCCGAGCTCAATATCCTCGAAGCGCTGATATCTATCTGTGAAAGACGCCTCATTTATATTTTCAGCGGGATATTTTAAATTGCAAAATTAAAAAGGACATAAAAACCCAGCAGAGCTCCTTATGCACTCATTCAGACCTGCAATCGAGATACCGGTGACGCTCTGCAAGTTTTTTTGTGCAGCAGTGATGCATCAATATCCGTATAACCTGAGTGGAGTAAAGTCTGTATTCACAGGCTGATACCTTATGCATGATATTAAGTGTGTGTAGTGCGCTTCGGCTCTGCACTTTGTACAAATCATCCTCTCTGTTGGACGCCTTATACTGCAGGGCCAGCTCTGTATATCTGCAAACACACAGTCGGGCTTCGCATTTCTATCTGTAGCAGCCAAGCCTGTAGTGAAATGTGAAACCTCCCAAAGGTACCGCCGCAAGAGACGAAGCTTTTGGCTGCAAATTCGAGTCTTTCTAGCAAATTAAACTCTGTGTGGAGGAAATTATGTCGCCACTTAAAAGGGTTTAAATTCAAGATTCCTGTTTTTGTTGGGTTTTGTGTGTTGTTGCATCAGCGCTTCACTCTACTATTTGGTACAAAACAACAGATCAATATTCAGTGAAATGTAATAATTTGCTTTCTTGCTGAGAGTTAAATGATAAGGTAGATCTCATTATTAGCTAAATATGAAGCTACAGGCATTTTGGCATGAAAGCACACTGACAGATTTTACACAAACCTCACACTCCAGTTTGTCGATGAGTTCCTCCAGCTGGTTGATTTGGGAGCCCCAGTGGTTGTCTGGCTCCACGCTGACCCCTGACCCCAGAAACACAACATCAGCAAGACAACATCAGCACAGCACAGGACGTCTGAGCAATAACAGTTTTTAAGAAAAGCAGTGTGGTGTTTTGTGCCCTTTCGTGCCCTTTCATTCTCCCACTGTTAAGTCCAACGTACCCGTGGTGAGCATGCCAGAGTAGGGGTCGGTAGGGGAGAGACACATGTTCTTCTGGATGCGCCGGCTGGGTCTCTTAGGCATCCTCTGGATTGGCAGGTCCTCTGGCTTCTTCATCGTCCTCCTTCCTGTGCAGCCGTGGTCATGGACGGCCTCCATAGCGCAGTCCAGTGACGACTGGAGCGACTGCAGCTGGGTGGAGGTTTCCCTCAGCAGGAAGCGCGTCACGAACTGACCCAGCACTGACGAGCCCTGATACTCCTGAGGGGAAAGAGTGAGTGTAGATATAAGGAATCAGCTGTGATGTGGGTAAAATCTATCAAGTTTCTGGTTTCATTTATTTGTAGTTGGTGTGATGGAGGAGAAACAAGCAGGTTCAACCTTTCTTTGGTTCTTTTTGTGATGTTTGCATTGGTAAGCATGAAAATTTTCATGTTTTGAGATAATCTACCATCTTCCTTTAGCACTAAATCTTGTATTTTACGGTTATTTCCTGTGTTCCAGTTATGTTATCACTTCCCCTTTAAAGGAAACAAGATCTTTATTCCTCAGCTATCTTGTTATAGTTATTTGATCAAGCCTAAACAGCATTATTCCTCCCTCCTAAAACCAAGATGCAACAGTTCAAGGTGCAAAATGTGAGCATGTCATCATGGAGATTACCCTGAATGCATGAATGGAAAGCACAAAAGATGATAATCTTTTGGGGAAAACGCTATCTCAACAACACAAATATGCCTTGTGACAATTTCCGTAATCCTTTCTCAACATTAGAATCTTTGGTGCAGTGGCTGCTGTATTTCTCTCGTGTTCCTCACAACTGAAACACAACTTTCACAGCTCAGTTTTTGGGGATAATGGAGGTCATCGCCCTCACCAGCACTCAGCGGTGCAACAAAATAAGAGTCCAGAAGAAATGACAGCGAGACATTTGAAAAACGACGGCCAAGCTTGTTGGAATCCAAGCTTCTATGCCCTCCTCTGTTTTCTCGGCAGCAGAGAAGCCGCAGTATATGAGTAATGAACTCTCCGTCCTTCTCTCCATTCATCCCGTTTTTATTTTTTATTTTCAAGACAGATGAGCTGCAACATCACAGCGGATGTGTTCATTTAATCTCAGAGCACCACAACAAAGCCAAAAACACATTTCATTTTACCACATGCATTTTCCAGCTATGATTAAAAGCATCATAAACAAGAGTTTGTGTTAGTTTTCCACATGTTTTTGCTCACATTTGGAGACTTTAGACCCATTAAAACATCTACGGGATCTGTCTTTGTTTTAGCAACTTAATACTCAACACTAATCTCAGAATGGCTAGAAAGCCTTTCCTCTTCAGGGTAAAGAAAGCTTTTTTTGACCAACTAATAGCGACATGAAAAATGCATGAGCTGTGGGAGGGCATGTGTCATTACAGAGAAAGATAAAGAGCCAGACAGGGAGAGAATGTCGGAGGAGATGGATGTACAGGAAAATTTGATCAAACAGAGAGAAAAGAAAGTGTGCACCTGAGCGAAGAACAGACTACCGAAGAGGAAAAGAATGTGGAAAAAAGGAGGAGATTAGAGGAGCTGAAATATGGTCGTGGTGCATTTATGTGGAGGACATCTGATGCCAGATCAGTTGGGACAGCTGGGGGGGTTGTCAGCCTCAGTGACTGTCAGCGACACTCCACTGTTGCCGTGTGATCTCAAAATCATCAGAAACTGCAGCGAAAATAAGTGCATGCCACAGAGAACAACTTCAGTATAACTGTGCATCCACAGCCAAGCATCCATCCATTCACAGTCCACACCTGACTCTCTTCTCTTGCCAAGTAGAGAAAAAAAAACTACTATTGGCTTAACATGCAGAGCCGTGTGACATCGATACAGGCTGCGCTAAGCTATTGATTAGGTCTTAGTGAAGTTCTCTGATGCTGATCTCTCCCGTGTGCTCCTAAAACAACACGGTTATACCCCTACTTGTCAGGGGCAGACACTTAAATCCCCTCTACATCTCATGGAATATTAAATTCTGCTTAACCAGACCTCAGAACAGGATTTTATTAGGCTCTAATTAGCATGTTTCGCAATCCGAGGCTGGAGATTTCATGAGATACAGATAAAAGAAAGTGCGTGAAAGTTTTCAATCCTTTGAACTGAACAGCAACTCGGAAGCTTTTTTTTCCTTCTTTACAATTAAGATGTGAACTTGGTGAAAACATGTTAAAATACTGCTGACTGAATATTTAATACCTTTTTTTAAATAAACAGCAAAATAAAATCCTCAGTGCGCTGTCAAATGATGAAAGCGGTGCGATCAGTGCCTTCGTTTGAAGATGAAAGATGGAACAGAGTTGACAGAAGTAATGGCATGCAATATGTTGCCAGAGGAAATCTTGTTCCCACATGAAGGTGATTTACATTTGAATGCTGCGTGTTGCTGCAATGACATGTTTCTGCACATCACAGAAGTGCAGGATGAACCAACAGCAAACATTTTGACTTTAAAGAGACACATGTTCTGCATTAATGTTGAAAAAGTGTAGGTTCATGTGACATCTAGTGCTGCATACGTGGTTATTCAATTCAAATCAAATCAAAATCAAATCAGGTTTATTGTCATGTTGCTGTACATACACAGTAGTACAGGCAAGATGAGAGAGCGTTTCTTCAGGATTGTTCAACCAGCAAGTTTTGCGGCATGCAAGTCTGGGATAAGACACGAAACGTTCGCTGTCAGTGCCTCCTGAAGGGGGCGCTGCGTCCACGCGCACCGCCGTTCGTTGAACATGGCGAACCTCTTCAGGTCCTGGTAGGTCTTCAGGGACACAAAAACACACACGATGGGGTGACGATGGTGAAGCCGCAGATGCTGCCCAGAGCTAGCTGTCTGTCTGTCCGCCCGGAATAATGTCGTCTCCTCCAGCTGTATGTCCGTCTGGGATGTTGTCATGGAGCCATGTTTCTGTTAAAGCAAACACACAGCAGTCCCTCCACTCTCTGTGGGTTTCTTCCAGCAAACGTAGCTCGTCCAGCTTGTTGTCGATGGAGTGGACATTGGAGAGTAGGAACGACGGTACTGCTGGTCTGGAGGGGCTAGCCTTTAGTCTAGCATGGATCCCGGCTCTCTTCCCCTTCTCTCTGGGGTAACTGCTGGCGTAGTCTCCAATCAGACTCTGCCTTAGTGCAGCATGTCCAAATCACAACCAATCGCCGCAAGTTCAGCACCGTTCACTGTCCTGACGCCCAGCAAAGTCTCCCGGCCACAACTTTTTCGGAATGAACGTCCGGGATAGACAAGACACTCAAAACGTTCACTTTCGTTGTCTCCTGAAGGGGCCGCTGACAACAATTTGGATAATAGAGCAATCTGATTCTACTTAAATGTGAATATTTTGTAGTTTTTCTTCAGTTTCTCTTGAGTGTTTATCAGCCATGTGATCAATGTGCTTCTGGTGAGTCCATATGAGTCCAACACGTTGGTCCAGCTCAGCAACTACTGCCATCAAGCTTTGTACACATGTTCGTGGTGGCCAGAGGAATAATTTTACAGATTGCCACAAACAAGTCAAAGATCAACATCTAGCAAAAGGATTTAGAGAAATATCTGCTGACACTGATGGTTCCCAGATGCAGAATCACAAAGAGTCTCCCTTTGCCAAACTGAACTTCACATTTCTGGGCATTGCTAATTCCTGGATGGATTGCCAGGAAGTTCGGTTCACACATTCATGACCCACTGAGGATGAATCCTAATAACTATTTTCATTTATGAACAAACATTCGTAAATCTCAGCTTCTGCTTCGTGCGAATCAGACACTTACGAGAACTCCTGACGGAATATGAGCTCCTATCTTAATCAGTTTAGCCGCTAACACATACTGACTCAGCATCTAGTAGATCCAGATCAGTAATTATAAGATAATCAACATTATTAATGTCATCTGTGAGCGCTCACAATAATACGGCTCTTCAGCGTAAAGGTCAGTGTTGGAGGGAACACAATGCAAAGTTTCTAGATTCAGAAATCCCATTACAGCAGAGATGTTATAAGGAAGAGAGTCACCACTGAATAAATCTTAAATAGAAGAGAAATGTATAATACTAAAGATGACACATTTCCCTACTTTAGCTGAAAAAAAAGCCAATCATTTGCTTTGTTTTAAGCCAATCATGTTGCTGCACTGACTCAAGTGTTGTGAAACTATGTAAGTGATTTGTTAAACACAATAAGTATAATCTGCAGTGGAAGATGCATTTAAAACCTTATTTTATGGGAAAGTCTCCAAACTTTTCAAGCAGTTTTTATCAGATTTGACCGGTGATTCTGTACATGTGGCTCTGTTCCCATTCATTTAGACAGGAGCATGGTCTTATTAGCCCAAAATACCTGCCTGGGGTCATTACCAAGATGACTGCAGTTACTAATCAGCTTTGACTTTTACTTGGGAGGCAGTGCAGACTACTGCAGCCTCTTGGATGTGCCACTAAGCCTTGTTCTTGCCTTGACATCTTTCTGTAAAGTGTTCTTTTGGCAGGTTTCCACCAACTTTACGGTTGACTTTGTGGCACAGCTTTAATATAGAGCAAGCAAGAAAGATGTTGTGTATGTCCCTTTAATTAAAAGAGGGATTAGTGCTGATACGTGGTGTTATGGGGGGTTTAACGTTATATTGTTAACTGACAATTAGGTGACAACGCTCAGTCAATAAAACCCAATAACCCTGGGTCCACCCGGACCCAAGCACTCCTAGAGGCTCATTTATTTCTGTTTTTATGCTGTACTTGGACTTTTTGATACTTGGTTTTTGCACTTCATTTCTTTGAGCAACATGATTTGCATGTTATCCATCCATCCATCCATCCATCCATCCATCCATCCATCCATCCATCCATCCATCCATCCATCCATCCATCCACCCATCCACCCATCATCTATCTCCATCCATCCATCCATCCATCCATCCATCCATAAATTGCAATTTTTTTTTTACAAATTTCTGAAAGGATGGTTATTGTTATTATTACTCCAACAGATTGTTCAGTTATGAGTGCTGAAATACTTGCACCATATTGTGAAAGAGGATCAAATATACAACTGTTGACCCCCCCAAAAAAAACAAAATGTTGTGCTCTCATAAATTGCTTTTCCTTTCCTGGCTGCCCGGCAGATTTACGAAGACCAACAGCTGCCTTGTTTCTCACGTCAGCTGTCCTGTTAAGAAAAGCCATTTTTTAAAAGCACAGCTCGTCTCGTAAGAGTCTCTGAGCTCCTGTTTGAAAATGAACCGTCAGTGAGGAGACAAAGAGGGCAGAGTCAGTCATGCCCGGCAGTTTCCTTTTCTTCCGTGACGCCACAACAGCAGACTGATCTCTGACAGGGTTTCAAACTGACGGCTGAACTCGAACAAGATAAAGCCGGGATGCTCAGACGCTTACAAATTTATTTTTTGAAAGCTGGTTTTGCTACGTTTCTATCACAAAACACAGCACAGAGCAAAGGTGAAAAAAACCGCCACCACCCACCTCTTTAGTTTTATCCATGGCCTTCAAAATGGCCACGTTCAGCTTCTCCAGAGCAGACAGGACGTTGACGTATTCACCCAGATGTGGAGTGAAGTACTCTGGAGGAGAAAAAGATTTTTTAGGTGCTATCGACGTTCAGCAGCGTTTTCCACGAGAGGGAAATAAATCAAACTGGACAGCGCTGGCATTAATTAGAATTAAAGTGATCGGGCTGTAGTCACATCTTGTTCATGATCAGAAGCCAAAAGCAACAACTAGAACCATGAAATCCAGAGTATTTGTGACATATACAGTAAAACAATATCTCATAAGGTGAAGTTTTAGGTGCTTTTATTTCTATTTTTTATTTTTTATATCAGCAAAATAAAACAAGAATGAAACATCCTTACCTGAGAGTTTGTCTATGTCCAGGTTGCTGTCAGAAGAAAACAAAAAGAGATATGTTAATTTAACTGGGAAACCCGAAATATTTCACAAGTCAAGCATTACAAACAGTCTTGGTACTGAATTTGAAAAACTCTCAGTGCTTGAGAACAGCAATTTGCAGCAAAAAATAAATAAAAAAAATAATAATCGCACTTCTTCTTGGAGTCACAACCAAATCTTAACTCGCAGACATGACACTTATTTTTAGATTCAGTGTGACTTGCTGTATATCATTATATCAGAATAAACACAAATTCATCAAATCAATTGTGAATCAACACCTATGAAAAAAAATGTCCCACACATTCCAGAAGGTGTCAAAGAAAGATCACATTTACACCATTTATCAGACCCAGAGACTGTAGGAAATAATATGATTTACGGTTTTAGACAATCCTTGAATAAATCATAAAAAAAAATGTGTTGTTCCATGAGGAAAATTAAGCAGCTTAAAATCTAATTATGTCATCACAATTATCTTTGTGCTACATATCTTGCTTGAAAATGTTTCAAAAAGAAAGCTTCTTCTCAAACCAGATTCTGCAAAAAACTAAAACTTTTGTGCTCCTCGGTGGAACCATGGAGCTGAAAGTGACTCAACTAAGATCAGCAGTGACATGACAAAAATTCAGGGACTTTTCAGGATAAATATTGTATAATAATAATAACACCTGTGGGCAAAAAGCTGTACATGTTGGTTTTTGTAAAATAGAAGAAATTCAAGTTTCTTCTTTCTGGTTTAATGTTTTATGGCATAGAGTTCTCTTCACTTCCAGTCATGGCTATGCTGTTTCCATCGAGGTGCAGGACTTTATATTGGAGTGAAAAATGAGCCCACAGTGACAGCTGTCTGTAGATCCATGTGTACATGTGCACAGAATACTGCTGCTACTTTTCCCATACTGTTAATGGTATCCGTTTTCTAGAATATGCACATATTGGCTAAAATAACCACCCACAGCTTGCTCAGCGGCACGATGGCATTGATTTTGCTGAACATAGTGAGAACAGGGTTTGATTTGGGTATGTCGACTTACACAAAATGCAGTTTTAATGTATTGGTTTGATAAATTCAAGCACAGCTGAAGCACTTAATTGTTATTTTTCTCGCTTTGTCTTGTTGATGCTACAGAAATGAAGTTGAATTTCACATTTAAAGGTGCTAAACCACCTGATGGGTCATTCTGCGCTGTGATTGGTCAATAGCACACAAGAATACATCATTTTTCTTTCATCATTGCTGTTCACGCACACACAGCAAATAATGCTCTATCGTATATCTTTTAATGAGCATTTTTCAAGTTTAGCCGTACGTCAGCGACGCAGGCAAGTGTTTACATATTCCACAGTCTTATCTGTGCTCGTCAGTTAGTCAACAGACTGCTGCAGATCCTTCACACCAGAATCAAGGCTCTCCGTGGAATATTGACATAATCTCCACTGAAGTGCAGTATTGACATCTCATAGCGAGGCGGCAGGGGAGCAGGAGGGGCTGCAGATGGCAGCCGAATTGGATGGCGTCCAACAGGAAAATGAGCTTACTCTGTCTGCTGCCTGTCGATGGAGCGATACAGCTCCTGCATCTGCTCCTCAGTGAGGATGCCGTCAGTGAAGTACGACTGGAACTCCTCCAGGGACAGCTTCCCGTCATCTGAAAAGGAGACAAACTTGTTAAAGTTACACCTCGCCGAAGCCGGAAATGTTTTACCACCTTAATGCAGGGATTGTCCATAATTCAGTGGAATGGAACGAGGCCGCTTTTGCTTCACGATGCTAATTTAATCCCAGTGACGAGTTCAGAGGTGCTGCTGCAGAACAGATATTTCTTATCAGCTGGCATAGTCCCAAATCTTTATTTGGCTCCTTCAACTACGCTGAAAAGGTCTTTCCACTTCTCTAACTGCATTACTTCAATAAATTAAAGTGATAGAGCTGAAAATACGATTTCTGAACTAACTAATCGAACTAAGCTCCACATTTTCTTTTTAAAAAGAAAAAGAAAAAATTCTGCTGATATCTAACTTGGTGAAATAACTAACCCACTGTTTGGATTTGTGCAATTAAATCTGAAACACAGGGACCAAATCTTACAGAATTTCAACTCATTTTTTATTAGTATTGTGTATTTAGTGTGAAAATAAAAGCACTGTGCTGCACAAAATGAATCTGCAGCTGTTGTGATTAAGCTATTTTTCAATGAAAAATGTGAAATATTCTCCAGTTTAAACACTAAATTGAGGAGGATTTTCTGCTTTTCTTTGTTCTATGTGACAATAAATAAAATATCTTTAGATTGTGGACTGCTAATTATCTTAAGATGTCACAGAAGGCTTGTAAAAATGGTGCTTTTTTGGGTATTTTTAATCACTTTATGAATAAAACTGAATTAAGTAACTGTTATTGCAATCTGAGTAGCTTTGTTGCGTAAATGAAGGGTTAAGTCTGATACCTTCATGTACTGTAGCAGCTTCCTTTTGCTTCAGAGTTTGCAGACCAACTTATGAGCAAGGATCGAAGGCTTGTATTGACAAATCTAACCGGAGCTAACTAGCAGGTTAACTTCAGCTGTGTTCTAATCGCAATAAAAGCCTTTTAAGACCCACTTTTATCACATTGTCTGCGAGTTTATTAGATCAGTTTTGACTTGTTCTGAGCGCGCCCTGTGGACGGCTCTGATTCACTTGCAGGAAAGTAACAGTAGCACAACGAATCTTTACCAAACAACGGCTAAGTTAAACCCAGCTGGGAGGCGAAGCTACTCGACAAGAGACAATCACAACTCCTTTCTCAAACTTCCCAGCAGAAAAATCTTGTTGCACTCGATGTAGGCGCAAACACAATCTGTTGCATCTCTGACTCACTCTCCAGCTTTCTCTGTCAGAGTTGCTTTTGGTTTGGATTCACACCCGATCAAGGCGCCCGAATGCAGCGCAGCTCAGATGGCACATTATGCAAGTGTTCAGCGTTTCTCATAGATCAGAGCTGGAAAACGGCTGAGCTGCTGGCAAACGCAACAGTGTTTGTCTCACAAACTAAAAGGACCGTATTCTGTCCAGCACGTGCTTTTAGAAGATTTCTGACTTGTTCCAACTTTCACTACTTAATATGCATAAATGAGCTCCAGCAGAACTGCATGTAATTATTGAGAACTGAAAAAAAAAACTACTATTTAAAAGTGTTTTCGACTCTTTTGGCAAGCAAAAGTTGACTTACTGCTTTTAGTTGCCTGAAAATGAACCAAACCTCAAAGAAAAGCGATCAGGAAATGTATTATTTTAGAAGGTAATGACAGCAGGACAGCCAGATGAATCCGTCAGCAATAAAAATAAATAAAAACTGAAAACATTTGTTGCCGTTTCCTCTATTTGTGTGATGTGTGATGATGTGCTGTCAGTTTCATATCATCGCAAAAAACTGAAAGCAGAAAGAAAAAAAAAAGACTGGCTGCATACAGTATTTTCTTACAAAAACACAGCCTCCTAGATTACACAATTCTCTCTACTCATGTTCCAGGAACATTTCTCCCTGAGGGAATCCTACAGCTAGAGGTGGTAAAAACCAAAGCAGGACTAATAATTCATAAATCCCATCAGCACAATTCAGGAGGAAACCATAAATAACCCCCTTTACATAGAAACATGAGGACATAGTACATCTTTAAAAATCCAACTTAAATGAATTTTTATTCGTATAGTGTCATATATGCAGTTTTATTTAGTGCACATGATGTCCACAGGTGTCAAAAATGCCTCAAACTGCAGCAGTTAATTGATTAACTGATTAGTTAACAGACAGAATATGAATCTGCAGCTATTCTAATAAAGCATTTTTTCAAATGCCAAATATTTGCTAGTTAGGGCCTAAAATATGAGCATGTGCTGCTTTTCTTTGCCCCATATGACAGTAAATTGAATATCATTAGATTTTCTGGTTATGTGAAAATGTCACTGAGGGCTTTTGAAAATTGCTTCCCCCCCCCCATTATTTGTAATAGAAACAGTGACCTGAGTAACTGTTGTTGCAGTCTGAGTTGGGGCTAATTCATGCAGTAATTGTGTCACCTAAAAATGAAACGGATAAACAACAGATGGATGTTTGCATCTCGCAGGCCGCTGATAACGTTTCTGTCTTCCACCTAGAGCTGCAGCCCTCTTTGCACGCCACTGCTTCCTCTGAGAATTCGGCTGTTGCCTTCAACCGTCTCCGAATGCAGCGGTAATTAAATTACCACGAGAGAACAAGTGCGTGAGACGAAACCTTGTAGTTATTGTCTGGCGAGGAAATGCCAAAAGTAGCTTCTGTAGTCAGACATTACCTCTCTTTGTGCAAAATTTAGATCTAAAAACAAAAAAGAAATGATGAAAACGGAAACTGTACGGCCTCATGTGTCTTTGCTGTTCAGTCGCTTTAACAAATTGCCTGTTTTGAAGATTCAGCTCAGACAATAAAATGTAAATGTAGTCTGCTTGTTATGAAAGTCTCCTGCATGCATACCTGCGACTTATCACACGTAACGAAACACTCTCTCCTCCATGAGAATTCTTTTCATTTCAGAGCCTAATTGCTGACTTGTGAGCGTGTTTGTTGTTTCATCCTGGTCACAAATCAGAGCCGCGCTGACAAATTAGACTGTGATATTACTGATCGCACTTTCATCTCGTTACATCTCTGAGCTCAGTGTGCAGCCACACAAATGTGGGCCGCTGAGTAAAAAGCAGTACTCAATGTATGATTGTTTGTCTGTTTTTGTTCAAAAAAATAAAAAAATGTAATTCCTCATTACAGTAGCGGCGAGGAGTGTAGGGTGTTGGTAGCCAGCCCTCATTATGTGGTACATTCACAGCACTCGAGGCGTATTATGGCAGCCTACTCAGTGCTGATTGGAAGGAGGCTCTTTCCTCTCGGGTGCACGATTCAGTGAGCTCGAGGAGACGAGAGCTGCCAATGGAAGATAGTTAACACAAACACGCAGCAAAGTTCTTTCTTTGGAGGAAAAATGAAAAATAATAGCTTGGTGTGAGTGCTGGAGGGCAGCAGGTGGAAAGAAAAAAGCATGGGGAGCATCCCAACACTGCAGCTAAACACTTTGCTATAATTAAGTCTATTTCTATTTTAATGTCACATATCTGTTGTTTTTTCCAGCTGCTGCGTTGTTCTGCTCATGTACAACAAGACTGGAAGAGAAATCCTCGCACACTTTCCTTCCATCTACAGCTACAGCCGCAAAGACAAAAGCATCTTTCATGGGTCCATTCATAATTCACACGATGAAGACTTTTTTTTGTATCTCAACATCTCCACATGAGGCACCCGAGACAACCCCTGCACATGTCGGCATCATCATCAATTCATCATTAGTCCTGCTCTTACGTAACACCGTCCCCCTGAGAGACCTGATCAGAGTTTGTAGCTACTCGACGAGCATTAATCACTCGCTGCTTTTTGCATTTTACATCCCATTAAATGGAGACGCGAGTGCATGAATAAGAAATTAAGAGCAACAACATTCGTTTGTCAGCGCTGTTTTTCCAGCAGAGCCGAATGCTTCCGTGTTTTCCTCGGAGACTTTTGGAGGGGAGGGCTTCCTTTGAAGTAAAGAGGTGACGCTGTAACACATTAATCAAATGAAGCAGTGACACGGTCTGCAAAGGGGGGGATGCATTAAAATCGCATTTAGTGCAAGTCTCATGGGAATTTGGAACATTTGGAGGTAAAAATGTGGTTTTCTATGGAGGAAAACAGGCAAGCAACAGCTGAGGGTACAGTTATTATTATTGTAGATACATTTGTGTGTGCGTACATTGCAATCCGTGCAAGATATCGTCTTCGCTGCGTTGGCAGGGCACTGCTGCCGGCGATGCACTGAGAGGGGCAATGCCTGCAGGGTAAACTGTAGTAGGAGTCCATCCAGTCAAGTTCAATCACACCTCAAAACCTAAAAGCTTCAACTGACCTTGGTTATTTATATCCCTTCTAAGGAGAGCAATGCAATAAAACAGAAGGATACGTCTCACCAAGGCCACATAAATCCCAAAAACATGCTGCCTGTCTGAAACAAGCCGTCAAAGTTGCTGCTCCTGTCTGCAATGAGCCCCTTCAAAGAGATTTTAATTGAGTTTTAATTAGCCGTATAATCCAATTAGCTGTGTGTTTTTCCTTACTCACCATTTTTGTCTGCCCGGCGGAATATCTGCAATAAAAGAAGGAAGATCATGTTTAGGCTTTTGAGGCTGGAGTTGTTGCTTAAATGACACAAATAAAAAAAAACAACAAGGATGTACACAATCTTCATTCAGGCAGTTTCAATGCGTAGCTGTAATCTGAGATAAATGTGGCACAAAAGCACAAAGATTTGTCTCTTGGAGCAGCAATGATGCAAAAACATAAACATGTGAGGCAATCCATCTGTAAAAGAGGTTTTACTTCTTTCTTTATGCAGAGGGGAACATTTAAGAGGAGCTGTAATTTCCTCATTTCAATAACAAAAGCGACAGGAGACATCTCAGGAAATGAAATGCTGACATTTGTGAGCCCCCAAGAGGAGCTTTGGAATGATAGCTTTTATGTTCCCTTCTCTCCAGCCACTAAAAACGATGATGCCGCTCTGAGATATTTCCCCAGTTTTGAGAAAACAGCCCCATAAAAAGCAGGAAGCAACGCTGCTTTATGTTGCTCAATTCATCATCCTTTATATTTCTAACCTCATCACCGTGTAGCGCCAAACCTGGCGAGAGGAGAGATCCATTTGTGGAGTGTGAGATCAGAGTGACACCTCGTCTATTTCAGCTTTTTTTTTTTTTTTTTTTACCACTCAGTCACCATCACGAGGACCAACAGAGTCCAGCGTGCTCGATTAACTCCGGCGTCAGACTGAAGCAGTAAAGTCACATCCAGCTGTCACCTTTCAAGCACATCGGCGCGTGAAGGCCTTGATACGCTCGGCTCCCATTCAATTCATCAAAAGCATCTCTCTTTCATTCAAGACATATATACTGAACCTCAGCTATAGCAGGTGGAAGAGTAAAAAAAAAAAAACTGCACTAAACCTCTTAACAGTTACCGTTTACAAATCATGTCTGTGTTAAAAACATGCTGTGTAAGTGTGTAAGACGCCATCATCCTAACAACTGCAGGCATCCAACTGGTTTGCATTCATTTCTGTGGAGTGTATTAGCAGCAGTCTCTTGCAGCTTCATGTTTTTGGGAAATCAATCACTGGGAGCGACCGAGTCTGCTTTCATTTACTTCAAAGTTGCAGGATAGATGCGTGGTAACACAAATAAGTCTGCTTTGACAAAAAAATAACACAGATCTGATGTTTACTATTGATTATTTCACAAGCGAGATTCAAGACAATTTGGTTCTTAATTGGTAGTTGCGAGGACGTGTGATGGAGGTTAGTCATCTGTCACTGGAAATTAAATAAGTATCAATAACAGCGATGAACAACCCACATTTTTAAGAAGTGTACGGCTCAAAGAGGAAATTAAATTACAGAGTATGGCAAAGTTTGTGAGTTAAAACAGCCAATACAAACAAGCATATTTATGAGGACCCTTTTCATTTCTGTCCATTTGCAGTAAGCTACAGATAAGCTATTAAAGTGTGTGAGCTCCTTCCAAATGTGGCCATTTTTATCCAAAATTATTTTATTTAGTGGTTGACACAAATTCCAACACAAAGGTCCACAATATGAAGATATCAGCTGGGTCCAAAACAAAACAAAAAGAGGGTATTCATGCTCTAAACCACAAATACTTCATGGTTAATGAAAAAAAAACACAACAGAGCACTTTAGCATTGTGCATTGGATGGCAGCTGACGTCGGTAGGCAACAATATAACTGTCAACCCTCCCTGAACCACAGAGAGGTTCATCTATCCAAGACACCTCAGAGGAAGCCAGCAGGAAGCTGCTCCATAAAAACTGGAAAACAATCGGGAGCAATAAACTCTGGAGAAACCTGGGCGGGAGATTTACTGGCCTTTATTTCTCCTTTATGTTATGTGGGAGGCTGGTGGCGTCCCACAGAGCTGCTGAAGATCTTCTAAAAGCAGCGCCAGCTACATGGATGCTGCTCGCTCAGTCCTTGAACATCTACAGTGTCTCATCTGGGTTTAAAAATGCACGACGCTGAGGCAGATTATTACCTCCAAAAGAGCAGCAAAAACACTTGTCAGGAATGTAAAACATTCGCACAACTGTGAGTCTGTTAAACCAAGCGACGAGTCCTTCAGCTTGTCAAATTAAATAGATTAACAGCCTTTTCTCTCTTTTTTGCAGAGAGAGAGGGAGATAAACAACACAAAAGCCTCCTCGAGAGAGCTGTAATGAACCTGTGCAGAGATTGAAAAGCACAGAAAAGGCTCAGTTACCTGTGAAAAGCTCCAATGTGTATGAGTGTGTGTGTGTGTGTGTGTGTGTGTGTGTGTGTGCAGGAATGATTTAGCTGTTAGGAAAGCAGAGGAATGAACGGGTGCAGAAACAGTGTTGAAGACATGGTGTCAGGATTGAAGACATCGTAAAGTTGCCTTCCAGTGAGATTCCATTCTTAATTCCTGCATTGAGCATCAATTAGCCACAGCCATAGGTTCAGTGGAGAAATGCCCGTTTAGAAGGTTATGCAGCGTGCGCAGCTGCATTTAAACCAAATGTGCACTCGCCGCAGTCTAATTTCCCCTTTCAGCTGGCCAATAATCTGCCTCGAGGAACCTGAATTTAATTTACAGCCAGCTGTCAGGAAGTGGAAAGCTGGGAAATGATGCTGCTAATACACTCTTGTTCAGTCTTCTGTCTTCTGGAGGGGGACATCCTCAGCACTCAAAGGGCTCCAACATATACGTGGTATAATTCTGCATGTACATATGCTTTTATATGAAAGGATAAGAATTTGTTCACACTGTGGTGAAAAGAAAACGCAGGGAGCTGAGTTGGGGGAACATTGCTGCTGTGGTGAAATCCTGTAATAGCCTGAATAAATAATTCAAAATAGGATCTTTTCTATTTTTAAAAAGGCCTTTTCACTCCCATTCTATGCATGTTTCATGTGGAATACAATCAATGTCATGAATCCTATGATATGAGGAGTAGAAAACAGATAAATAAAATGAACTCAGGCATGAAAACTGCTCATCAGATGGGGGCATCTCATATGTTATTGACGCACTAATGGGCTCACATTTCTTACATAACAGAGCTGACATGCATCACCTCACTGTGAACCATTCACATAAAGAAGAATGAAGGACAGATTCATATTGTGCATTTGTGCAACGAGCCCCCCCAAAGGTGGAAATGAGCAGAACGTGTCTAAAAACGGACACAAGCATGCAGGAAATTAACCAAAAAATTAAATTAAATTCTGCAGCTGCAACATCACAGAGTGTACTCACATCCTGGAATAACGGGACGCCTTGATTTTGGTTGTGGTCAAGCTCCTGCTGCTTCCTCAAGTGTTCGTGCTTGGCAGACTGAAGACACATGGTGATGAGCTCCGTACAGGCCAGCATCTTGCCGCTTTCGATTCGATTATGTTTTGCTTTTTTTTCCTTCTTTTTCTGGTGTGAAAATAAATAAAGATTGTCCTGTGCGCTTCTGGAGAGGTTCGTCCTTGTCAGGGGGAAGGAGGAGGAGGAGGAAGAGGAGGAGGAGGAGGATGCTGGATGATGATGCTGCTGATGCTGCTGGTCCTGTGATCCAGTCAGGAGGAGATGGACCCAGCCTGCTGCCCTCTGCCTGCCGCCTGCACCGTCGACATCAGCAGGAGAAAAGAGAAGAAAAAAAAAGAAAAAGAAAAACTCCGCCTCCACGCGACGACGACGATTCATAAAAGCCCGAGGAAAGAATGCACCATCTGCTGGTGGAAACACTCACGCTGTCAGAGAAACGGTTAATTACAGGCTGGCTGACAGGGAGGTGAGTTTTACAGAGAGAGAGAAAAAGAGGAACAAAGACGAGAAAAAACCAGGAGCTGACAGCCTCTATTTACCTCCTGAGAATGAAGACTTGCTCTGTCAATACTCCAGTTAAGAGAGTTAATGAGACCCTATCATGGTTCTACTAAAGAGGGGAGTGAGTGTGTAAAGAATGAGACATTTATTTGTGATTTTTATGACATCTGTGGCTATAAAAAGTCCCTGCAGTAGCCCTTGTAAGAACAGAAATATCTCTTTCAATATCCTCTTTATATTCCTGTAATATTTCTTTAGTATTAAATGTGCGAAATGATTCCTAAGAGCCTCTTTCCTCTGAAAATGAATTGTGTTTATGCTGATCACAGGGCTGATATCGTTTTCTATTTAACAGAATATGAACGACCATCAGCCTACATATATTTCTGAGCAAATAGGATACATTCATATCAATGCGTCACCATTTGTTTCCTGTTACATGTGACTGCGGTTAAGGCATGACTGAATATACAGTGTGATCACACACATGAACACACCTCAGCATGTTGTGCAATTTGCATCACATGTACAAAACATTAGCAAGCTTCAAAACACAGGAAGACATGTTCATCTCATGATGTTTCCTAATTCCTGCACGTTATTCGTTTAAAAATAAGATGCTACTGTATAAGTGTTAGTATAGTGTCTGTTTATATTTGTTGAATATTATAATGTGACTTCACAGTGACATTGTGTCCTATAGTGGACTGAACAAAAATAGAAATGCAACATGCAAGTGATCAATTTTTCTGACTTAAAGAAAAAGTTAAAGATCATATTTGTTCTTGTCTTCCCTTTTGTTCACCTAATTTTATTAAATTTATATTAAATTTTATCGTATACTTTATCACGTACATGCTTTTATTTTGGCCTCTTTTTTTTTTATAGCTGTTTTAGTCAATCAGTTTTAAATATTCTATGAATCTTTGTGCACTTTATCCAACTTGTCTTGACTGTTTTTGGTTAATTTATTACTTAGATTTTAAATTTATGTTTTATTTCATCTCTCTTTTTGTTTTAAATCTACATGTAAATCACTTTGAATAACTTCTCTTTATGATAAATAAGCTTCTGTTGTTTTGGAGTTTTTTTCGGATTGTGCTCAAAACATTTTCGACTTGTTTACCTGATGACAAATTCTCAACCACTGAGTTAATCCACACTGTAGTCAGGTGTGGCCTTAAAACACAATGATCAGATAGTGTGACCAGCACGGACACTCCTTTGATCAGTGACTGTAAAAGTCCAGCTTAAAATGCAGCTTTATTCAAACGACATGATGCCACAGATGACGAGAGGAAGAAGACAAAAAGATATTGGATGTTGGCGTATTAATCAGACGCTTGAACGTCCGCAACTCCGCCGTTTGTCATCTAAGAAGTTGCTTCAGACGGCTCTGGATCGACGTGTGATCTTGATCCCCAGAAACAAATGGGATAAAACGAACAAGCAGCATCGACAACCTCATTACCTCAATGTACTGCAGATGTGTGACTCACTGACTTGTGATTTCTGGCCTATGACCCAATTCGTCATCCGCACAAATCTAATTTTCAATAAAGTCCATACTTGGTTGTTTCGTGACATCCATTGTGCTGTAGAGATGCTGTTTGTTGGAACAACTTATTCTCTTATTGAGAAAAGAATGAATAAAATGTAATAAAATGCTGTTTACTGTTCTGCAGTACCTTCATATGTTCTTTCTTGTGTCTTATTAGCTCCATGAGCCATAAGTCAAAGACGGAAGATATTATTATTTCAGTGTACATTCTTAGAAATGAAGCCTTACTGCTTGAACAAATGATCATTTCAGCTCAGACACCAAGTCCACCACAGTGTCGATTTTACACGACAGACTGAGCCACGACTTTATTGGAAACCTATCACCATCTTTGCACCTCCCACACATGCAAACAACTCCCTTCGTGGCCCCAAAGCTGGGACCTACGCGTCCCGTCTGAGGGGTGGGAGCAGAGGCGATTACATAATGCTGCTCAACATCTGAGTAATAACTGCTGACGTTCTCTGACCTTCTGTCTCTTCGCTGTTCTGAAGTTCGTCCTCAGTGCAGGTCAACAGGTGAGCTCCCCGACAGGCTTCACTTCTGATCTTGTTATATTATCCTTATGGCTCATTTTTACCAGTTATTACAATTATTTTGATTGCAGTGGTTATTGATCTGTTGTTATGATTGGTAGCAGAGTTAAGGTTATATTTGGATTTATGTTTGTTTTGATGGCAGTCATTGAGAAGAAACATAAGGTGTGGATACTCCATACGGCAAAAACAACACAACATTCAACCTACTTGTGGTGTTTAAATGGCTCTGGTGTTGGATACACAAACATAAAGATAACATCCGACCACAACAGAAAGCCACAGATCCCAAGAAGTGCTTTATCTGTTGACCACAGGAGATGGTGGAAGAAATTATGTAGATGTTTGTAAACTAAACTACTCATCGAAGCGCTCATTAGAAGATTAAAACAGGGATTCTTAATTGTTTAGTCATCGTTGTGATGGATTACGTATTGCTATTACACACAATAACAACTTTTTTTTTCCACTGAGTGTGACAAACTTTTAACAGCAGGGAAATATTTGGCATCAATTAAAATACTTTGGTGTTTCATCAGTGGTTATTATTTAATAGCTTCTGCAGTAATCAGCTGATGATGTCTGCCAGGGCAGCTCCGGAGCGCCTGCAGAGTGTAGATAAGCAGCAGCTTCATGCCACACCCGTGAGGAGGCACCCGATGCCCTCTGCACAGGACGAGTTATCCTTATTTCACATTTTGCTCACGTGATTGAAATATGAATGACAGATGCGTGACAGCCTCCACAAATATTATGCAAAAGTAATCCTAGGAGCTTCAGTTAAAAGCGAGAACCTTGAAAGATAATTCTGGTTGGCTTTACTGAAGCTCAAAGGATTACCATGACCTGGATGACTGAGAATCGAACCAGATACTATAAAAACAGGTTAAGTGTGAACTTATTTCCTCGTCTTTTGTCTTAACTCAGAGTAAGAACAGCATCAGTTGCTGCCATGGCTGCCTTCCTTCATCACTGTCCCTTCCTGAAGTCGGCCTCAAAGCCGGTTTTGAGGAGAACAGGAGCCTCCTTGTTGTCTCTGGCGGACCAATGCCCCATTATTACCCGTCAGATCACTGTGAGCAGCTCAGCCTCTCTGGAGGCCAAGCTGAGCCTCTCACCCACCAAACCAAAGAGTCCCAGACTTCCCACGTTGGACCAGAGGAGGTCATATGCTCAAACCGCTACTCAGGTGGCTGTGACGGCATCCAAGGACTGCCCGTTCGTCTCCTCTCAGATTGGGATGGTCCGGGCCAGCGCTGAAGTTCAGGAGGACGTCCAGGATGGTAGGAGCTGCAGCAAACGCACACACAACACCAGAATCAGAACGTCAACAGAGGCAAATTCGACAAATGGCAAAAGGAAGACAAGAATTTCCCACTCACAGACCTAAACTTTCTTATCACAGGTTTGGTGACCTCGCTGTTGAAAGGTTTAAAGAATTCAGTGTTCCCAGCATCAGTTCAAACCAACTCTGTCACTCACCTCCTCAAAGACAACATGGGTAAGTTGTTTTGTTTTTTTTATTTAACATGGGGAAATCTGAAATGATTTTATCTGACTAATCACAAAGCCGTCCTTCCTGCAGTTGGCCCCAGCTACGACTACGATCGCTTCTTCAGTGAGAAGCTTGCTGAGAAAAAGAAGGACCACACATACAGAGTCTTTAAGACGGTGAACAGGAGCACCGAGGTCTTCCCTTTTGCTGAGGATTACTCCATTTCCGGGCGGGAAGGCTCCCAGGTGTCCGTCTGGTGCAGCAACGACTACCTGGGAATGAGTCGGCACCCTCGGGTCCTCGGTGCAATCAGGTAAAAACAGAAATGTTTGCAAAAAATGAAAAGTTGGTTTCAGGGTTTTTGGATGTTTTGACATAAAAGTGACAAAATTATTACAATGAAAATGCCAAAAAAAAGGATTGAAGGAACAAGAAGACTAAGAATACTTTGTAGTCAAGTCATGACTCTAGAAATGCATTTGCTGGTTGGTCAGTCAGTCGCCCTTCCAACGTGCTTCAGATTAATAGTTCTACAACTACTGGATGGCTTGTATTGAAATTTCTGTCCCCCTACAGTTGAAGCCTACTGATGATTCTTTGACTTTTCCCATACAACCACCAGCAAATTAGTCATTTAATTGAAATGTCTTGACAGCCATTGGGTAAATTGTCTTTTATTTTAGTGGAAACATTCCTATTTTCAAGATTAAACGTAGTAACTTTGGAGATCTATTTACTTTTTATCTGGAACCATCATTTTCTCAAACTTCTAACCTGTCCAGTAATTTGATTTAAGGCCACATTTGTAAATTAATTACACTACACTTAGGTAGTTCATGGTAAACAGTATACCTGCTGAACATCAGAATGCTGTAGACTAGTCATGTAGTTTTGACAGTCTTGATTTTAGGCTAAACACAAACCACGTGGAGCTGATATTTTGTTGATGGAACCATAGAAATTGCAAGGACGAATGAATATGAAAGAAAAACATAAGCAAAGATATGTTATAGCTTTAGTTATCTGGACCAGATGATGCATCTTTTTATGTTGTGGATGTCCTCAGTGAGGCTCTGGAGAAACATGGTGCAGGAGCAGGTGGGAC